CAGTATACACATCCAAGATAGAGAACATTGCGACTGCTGTGATAGAGATGTATGGAGACATCTGAGGCTCTTCATTGGACACGACAACAACAACAATACAGTATACACATCCAAGATAGAGAACATTGCGACTGCTGTGATAGAGATGTATGGAGACATCTGAGGCTCCTCATTGGACACGACAACAACAACAATACAGTATACACATCCAAGATAGAGAACATTGCGACTGCTGTGATAGAGATGTATGGAGACATCTGAGGCTCCTCATTGGACACGACAACAACAATACAGTATACACACCCAAGATAGAGGACATTGCAACTGCTGTGATAGAGATGCATGTGGAGACATCTGAGGCTCTTCATTGAACAGACAACTGCAGCAATGCAGTATACACACCCAAGATGAAGACATCTGAGGATCTTCATTGAACAGACAACTGTAGCAATGCAGTATACACACCCAAGATGAAGACATCTGAGGATCTTCATTGGACATGACAACAACAACAACCAAACCATTTTGCTAAAATGATGAAGCATTTGAGTGAAGTGATAATCTATGTGTATGAAGAGCTACAGAAGGTAATATACAGAAGGTCTTATTACCTTGAGTTTCTAATCTATAATACAAATTGTATCTAATCATGTATGAAGAGCTATTAGCTTAAATTGACTTGTTCCATTATATGTATGTTCCATGTGTAAATACCTGTTTTCTTTCCTCTCTTCGCTCTCCACTTCTCCCATCCATATTTCCATTTTTTTTTTTAATTTTCCATAGGATTATTCAAATAATAATCTGTATATATTTACCATATGTATATAATCTTTCTCCATTTTTGCCCCTTTGTATATTTCCCACTTTCATAGGTTTCTCTGTCTTGTAACCCCAAGGAGAATCCTCTGTAAGACCTGTGTGTCTTAATAAAGGCTTTTGTGTGTGTGTGTGTGTGTATGAAGAGCTATTCACTGAACATGTGTATAGAAGAAAGGAGATAAGAGAGATTATAGGAATGATATCCAAGATTCAATCTGGGTGAGAATGGAAGCATGGAATGTGCTGCCATAAAGTATAACTGCAGAAACCTAAAGAATAGCTATCATTCCCACGGGAGAATTGACAAGCTTATAAACAACTACCTCCTCTGTGTTGAAAGCTACACCTCCTCTACTTGCAGCAATCTCCTTTATTTATTTGAAGTTCTGTGTCACCCGTCAACATCCTCTCTACCAGTGATTCACAACTGCTGGGCCGGTGATGGACTGATGCACAGCAAATTTTTACCAGTCTCTTTAAGAGTTTTTTAATCTATTGACACATTTTAAAACACAAATTATCTATTAAAAAAAAATTGTAATAAAATTTTGTATATAATAGCGAGCACACACCTCTCCACAAAGGACAGTTTTCATTTGCAAAATTGCCATTTTTACTATTTAGCAACTCTCCGATAAGAGGACACTTCTCCCTAAAGGATACTTTAGCTCTGCAATTAGGTGTCCTTTACAGGGAGGTCGTACTGTATAAATATATTTATATTAATGCCTTAATTTTAGACATTAGAATCCCAAATTTTGAATTTGTGTTACAATTAACTTATATAATAGTTCTTTAATGCAGTAGAGAACCTCCATAGAAAGCTATAATCATGTTTTTTAACAATTATAAACATTTGAGGAGTCTTCCCCAAGGACAAAGAGTCTTCCTCCAGATAATCAGAGGGTCTTTGTTATCTCCCCTCAAGGGGTAAGTGGAAGAATGGTCTAAACCGTTGGTTTTCGACCGCTACGACTCAGGTTCTATTCCTGCATTGGGCCCTTTTTTCTGATTAAAAAAAAAAATGCTCCAATGGCCCCGATTCTTGCAAAAGTCCAACCCCACCAGCAAGTTCAAGTAACCAAACAGGGCTCTGGCACATTTGTAAGTACAAATTCGAACTGCTTTTCACATGTGAAGACATGTGGTGAACTTACAGTAAAAGCAGTTGCCTACTTCTACCCACCATGATTATCATGACCTGTACCAAGTGTACTAGGGATAAGCAAAAAAAAAAAAAATCTCAAGGCTTAGGAAGAACTTGTAAATGGACGCTGCCTTTGTTGACGCATGAATGGTGTTGGCATCCATCATCTATCCCATTTCCGAAGGCAAAGTTCAGAAGGTAGCCTAAAAATGTAGCGCTCATTCTGAAGTCCTTACCAATTAAAAAAAGGATCAGTTTCCTGAAACACACAAATATATTTTACAACAAATTTATATAGCTAGGATTGAATCAATTTCATCCGAATGAAATCCACTCCATTGAAATAGAGGGAACTAAGGCCTCCAGCCCTGTGATGTGCATCTACCAATCGAATGCTGGTGCCACAGAGTGCTCTTGTTCCCACCCTTCGAGCCCTATGTGCGCTGGCTGCTCCACGAGGTGATCGAGTCCTACTACGGCGCCACCCTGGGCAGCTTCTCCATAGGAGCTGGAGACCAGCGCCGTGTTGTGGTTCATTCCAAACAACTCCCAAGGTTGGTGAGATGCCTCGGCTTTTGTTCTTTAACTTGATGACGAATGAAGCAGAACCCAAATGCTTGGACATTTCTTCTGATTGAGTAAATTTCCTCTCTTCTTAATCCTTTGTAATTATTGTTTTTATTTGTTTTGTGCATTATCACAAATATAATCTCTACAGACAGGATAAGGTACAATTAGAATTATAGATTTGAAAACAAGGTAATAAGACCAAATACAAATAAAATAATAGTGTGTGGATAAGGCTGTGGTAAAATTTCTCATTCAGTACTTTTGTCTGAAGATGGTAACAATGCTGTTACCAAAACGTCACACACTATTTATTTATTTGGATTTGGTCTTATTACCTTGTGTTTATAGTGTATGGCATTTCGGTAAGAGCATTGTTAGCATTATCAGACTTATTATCTCATTCAGTACTTTTGTCTGATAATGGGAACAACACTGTTACACCGAAACGTCACCTTTCAGTAACTGCATTGTTGTTACTGAATATTCTCGCACATTATTTATTCATTTGGATGTGGCCTTGTTACCTTATGTTTCTATAAAGTCTTCTTCTTTCTTATCTCCACTCAATCATATTAGAGTATCAAGCTTGTAAAGTTTGAGACTTTTGATGGTGTCTGCCGGGGATGAGTAGAGCTCATCAATGGATGAATCAATACAGTCAATAATTTTTTCTGGGTGAAGTAAAATGCATCTCTGACATGAGAAACAGGTGCCATGTACAGCCGCTCCTAACATGGAGTACAAACGCTACTCATCCTGTATCCATGGATCAGGAGCCCTTACAGGGTACTATCAGCCAGGCCAGCTGAGCCCAGGTTTTTTAGTGAGGCTGTTACTGCTCCCCCTCCTTCTTTTTCATCCGGGCTTGGGACCGGCAAAGGCGGAGTTTTTCCATAAAGTAAAATCTTATTATCACCACCCTCCCATAATAAAAACTGCCATTTCACAGCTAGCTTCCACATCAACCAACCCAAACTCACCAAGCAGCAATGTATTATTTCCTCTATACGCTTTACCACCCTCTCTACCCAACATCTTTTCCTTCCCCCTTGTACAAGTGTAACATCCTAAATTATCAACTTGACACTCTTCATCACTGAAATTTGGAAATATATTTATAGCACCACTTATATATAGTTAAACCTGTCTATAGCACCCCCTCTAAATAGCGCCTTCCTCTCTATAGCGCCCGATTTTAAATACGTAGTACGATGTGATTTACATTAAAAGTGACCTGTCTATAGTACCCCCTCTCTATAGCACCCTATTTTGGTGAGTCCCAAGAGTGGGCGCTATAGACAGGTTTAACTATATATGCAATGATTAAAAATTAGCTTGAGAAGCATGAACTCATGGAATTCATGTAATCTTAACACAAGAGCATAAGAAACAACATGATTAAGAATTAAAATAGGGAGGGCATGGCTCATCAGTGGTGAACCCTCCTTCTTTCATAAATAATAAAGCATAATTTGAATTATAAATTATACCTACAAGGTAATAAGACCAAATCCAAATAAATTAATAGGGTGTGACGTTTCGGTAACAGCATTGTTACCATCATCAAAAATAGAGGAGAGCTTGAGATCCTGAACTCTTTAAAATATAATCTTCAATAGAATCATCAACATTGATATTTACTTTGGAATTCTTCAGCTCATAGGAAGAATAACTTCTTAGGTCTATTAAAGTATATCAAAAATGATAAGGCATAATTTATATTATAGACACAAGGTAATAAGACCATATACAAATAAATGAATAGTGTGTGATGTTTCAGTAACAGCGTTGTTACCACATCATCAATATTTGTTATTTTTAATCATTGCAGTATAAGGGCTATAGAAGTAGGTTTTAATTATATACACTCATGGACAAAACTTAAGGAAGTTGTACCTTGCAGCATGTATATCAGGATTCAGACAATAATTCTGAAAGATATTTGATACACAGTGCCTTAATTGAAGACACACGAGATAACCAAGTGTGAACAAAATTGCCTCTGTCTCCTTCAAAAAAAAAAAAAAGAAGACGGGGGACATCAAAGATTTTCCACTTCCTTTAATGTTGTCCATGAGTGTAAAAAAATATCCAATTTTGTGACTGCTACAGTAGTCTACCGTGAGAGACCATAAGCTAAAAACATAGTTAAATCCAATCTCTTCTGGAGGTAGTTGTCTCTTATCAGAAACTTTGTTATGTCAGTAAAGTCATGAGGAGTCAAATGTGGGAATCGAACCCGGGTCGTAGTGGTCGAAAACCAAACGGTTTAACCAGCCTTCCACCGACCCCCTAAAAGTGTCAAATGCGGGAATCGAACCCGGGTCGTAATGGTCGAAAACCAAACGGTTTAACCAGCCTTCCACCGACCCCCTAAAAGTGTCAAATGCGGGAATCGAACCCGGGTCGTAGTGGTCGAAAACCAAACGGTTTAACCAGCCTTCCACCGACCCCCTAAAAGTGTCAAATGCGGGAATCGAACCCGGGTCGTAGTGGTCGAAAACCAAACGGTTTAACCAGCCTTCCACCGACGAACCACGGTTTTCGACCATTACGACCCGGGTTCGATTCCCGCATTTGTCATGAGGAGTCTTTCATTTGAAACAGTCTCTGATGAAAGACCTTCAAGAGAGAGACTGTTCTTATCCTTTTTTTAAAGCTTTTGGTCTTCTCATAGAACACTACTATGTATCACATGATCTTATTCAGCCAATCCGTGTGTTTTAGCTCAATGATTCAATTGAGGGGGAAAAAAGGTAACACCAAACTCCTAATTTATATCCCTTTCATTGCATTCAGATATTACATGCTATAGTGTGGGTTCAATTCATGCTTTATATATATATATAGTATATTTTAAACTGTATAATGATGACACTTTTAGTATATATCACATATCTTCCAATTAGTTAGAGCCGATACTTTATTAGATCCTACTCTTCTTTTAAAATGTACACTGTTCCTATTTACTACCACCCCCATATTTTGTATATATGCTATATCTTTTTATTAATATAACCTGTACCCCCCCCCCCCTTATTTGTATGTAAAACTAAAATTGGTGATGTCAAAATAAAAAGCCAGAGCAGTCGGATGGTGGCAGCTGGGGGTCAGCGGCAGTATGTTCTACAGTGTGTCCATCGGCAAGCCGCTTCTGTCTCTCGCAGTCTCTCTCTCCATGTCTCGGTGATAGGCATCCAAGTTTGTGTCATGGCCTCTACCTCTGTTCCGTGGGCTGTCCTCAATCACTCTTGGTGCTAACATCTAGCCCTGCCTCTGCTTCTTGTTGTCCGCGTGTGGGAAGAACATCAACACTCACCTCACCTACATGACTGTCAGTTTATCCATACGTCGACAGGATCATTTGCAACAATATTACATATATATATATACACTCATGAACAAAACTTAAGAAGTGGAAAGTTGGTTATATATATTTTTTTTAGAGAGCCGGGGAAATTTTGTTCACACTTGGTCGTGTGTCTTCAATAAAGGTCACTGTAATATCTTTCAGAGTTATTGTCTGAATCGCTAAAACTTCCTTAAGTTTTGTCCATGAGTGTATATGAGTGTACTCTAAAAAATATATATTTTTATCTTTTTAACAATTCAAATTTATTTCCAAGTTGCATTTACAAATCCTATTTTGATTGTAGGTTTTTTAAATCTTTGTATCGTAGGGTGATGGTGCTTGATCTCCTTTTTCTGTAATGGTAATTTTTAACGGGGTAACAATAGATAAATTTTATTACATTGACATATTCTTTATAGGTGATGTTATTCTTGGAATGTTCCTTTACATGTGTTGACAGCTTACTGCTCTGTTATTTCTTTTAAAAATAGACACTTCTGCCAGAGTTAAATTTTTATTTTCTCAATGTTTCAACAAAAATATTTTGTCTTCGTCAGGAGAAATAAAAATAAAGTATTTATCCTGACATAAGTATATTGCTACGGCGTTTTATGGTTTCCACAAGTCCGTATCTCAGAAGAAGGCCAAGTGACACTCACTCCTCACTTTCTTACTGCTCCTCTTTTTGTGTTGTTTTTCTTGCTTCCCTCTTTCTCTTTCTTGTTTTTTTTTTTCTTTTTCTTCTGTATATATCGTTATTTCCTTTGTCTCACTGATTTGTTCTTATGCATACCTCTGGTGAATCCTGTATAGGGTCAGTGACCCTGAATAAAGGCTTTTTGTTGTTGTTGTTGTTGCATTTATCCTGACAAAGACAAAAGATTTTTTGTTGAAACATTGAGAAAATAAAAAAAACTAACTGGCCGAAGTGTCTATTTTTTAAAAAAGAACTATGAATGCTGGCCAGGCAGCCTCTATCTTTACGATGCTCTATTATTGTTATTTGTTACAATATGTGTGCTGGTTGTGCAAGGATGTGATGTGTTGTTGTAGGAAAACAGCGATGGGAGGCAGAGAGGAGGAGTCCCCGACTACTTCTGTCGAACAAAGGGCCAGGTAACCTATAGAACACACACCCTGAGATTTCTTTATATATATATAAATAACCTACACCCCTATCTAGTACGTTAGAACATATTCTATGAGAGGACACTCCCGCAAGAGGACATTTCTCTACAAAGGACAGTTTTCATCATCAATACAATAGAAAAACCTCCATGAGAGGACACTCCCACTAGAGGACACCTCTCTACAAAGGACAGTTTTCATCACCAATATAGTAGAACAACCTCCATCTGAGGACACTCCCGCTAGAGCACACTTCTCTACAAAGGACAGTTTTCATCACCAATATAGTAGAACAACCTCCATCAGAGGACACTCCCGCTAGAGCACACTTCTCTACAAAGGACAGTTTTCATCACCAATATAGTAGAACAACCTCCATCTGAGGACACTCCCGCTAGAGCACACTTCTCTACAAAGGACAGTTTTCATCACCAATATAGTAGAACAACCTCCATCTGAGGACACTCCCGCTAGAGCACACTTCTCTACAAAGGACAGTTTTTATCATCAATATAGTAGAACAGCCTTCATCAGAGGACACTCCCGCTAGAGCACACTTCTCTACAAAGAACAGTTTTCATCATCAATATAGTAGAACAGCCTTCATCAGAGGACACTCCCGCTAGAGCACACTTCTCTACAAAGAACAGTTTTCATCATCAATATAGTAGAACAGCCTTCATCAGAGGGACACTCCCGCTAGAGCACACTTCTCTACAAAGAACAGTTTTCATCATCAATATAGTAGAACAGCCTTCATCAGAGGACACTCCCGCTAGAGCACACTTCTCTACAAAGAACAGTTTTCATCACCAATATAGTAGAACAACCTCCATCTGAGGACACTCCCGCTAGAGCACACTTCTCTACAAAGGACAGTTTTTATCATCAATATAGTAGAACAGCCTTCATCAGAGGACACTCCCACTAGAGGACACCTCTCTACAAAGGACAGTTTTCATCACCAATATAGTAGAACAACCTCCATCTGAGGACACTCCCGCTAGAGCACACTTCTCTACAAAGGACAGTTTTCATCACCAATATAGTAGAACAACCTCCATCAGAGGACACTCCCGCTAGAGCACACTTCTCTACAAAGGACAGTTTTCATCACCAATATAGTAGAACAACCTCCATCTGAGGACACTCCCGCTAGAGCACACTTCTCTACAAAGGACAGTTTTCATCACCAATATAGTAGAACAACCTCCATCTGAGGACACTCCCGCTAGAGCACACTTCTCTACAAAGGACAGTTTTTATCATCAATATAGTAGAACAGCCTTCATCAGAGGACACTCCCGCTAGAGCACACTTCTCTACAAAGAACAGTTTTCATCATCAATATAGTAGAACAGCCTTCATCAGAGGACACTCCCGCTAGAGCACACTTCTCTACAAAGAACAGTTTTCATCATCAATATAGTAGAACAGCCTTCATCAGAGGACACTCCCGCTAGAGCACACTTCTCTACAAAGAACAGTTTTCATCATCAATATAGTAGAACAGCCTTCATCAGAGGACACTCCCGCTAGAGCACACTTCTCTACAAAGAACAGTTTTCATCATCAATATAGTAGAACAGCCTTCATCAGAGGACACTCCCGCTAGAGCACACTTCTCTACAAAGAACAGTTTTCATCATCAATATAGTAGAACAGCCTTCATCAGAGGACACTCCCGCTAGAGCACACTTCTCTACAAAGAACAGTTTTCATCATCAATATAGTAGAACAGCCTTCATCAGAGGACACTCCCGCTAGAGCACACTTCTCTACAAAGAACAGTTTTCATCATCAATATAGTAGAACAGCCTTCATCAGAGGACACTCCCGCTAGAGCACACTTCTCTACAAAGAACAGTTTTCATCACCAAAACAATAGAACAGCCTCCATGAGAGGACACTCCCACTAGAGGAGACCTCTCTTCAAAGGACAGTTTCCATCACCAATACAATAGAACAGCCCCCATGAGAGGACACCTTTATACAAAGGGATAGAGTGAGAGATTTTTTTGGCAAAGTTTGAAAAATGTGAACAAATAAGTGGCATTGTGTATAATATCACATCACTATTTAAACATACATTATGTAATTAAAATATTTTCGTTTATACTTTTTTTTTTAATTTAAAAATAAAATTTCAAACAACTTAACCTATAACTTGACGGAAACTAATCTAATTTAACCTCTCTTAAACTATCAAACCTGATTTGTTAGTCCCAAAAATCTAAGCATCAGTATTCTTCTAGATGATTGGCTTTTAAACTTTTCCTTGCGGGGCAAATTTGGATGTTTCCATCCCATTCTCTGCCATGTACTCTCCGGCTCCTAATGATTTATCCACGTTTGTCACCAGTGGCAATTCTGTATAAGAAGATGTCAAGTTGATTACCATAGCGATCCAAATGTTTTTGGCAGATGTCCAAGAGCTGTTGTTTATGCAACTGTGTGAGTAGTTTTGGAACCCATCTTGCATAGACTTTATGAAACCCAAGTCTGTTGTGGATGATTTCGTAGGCAGAACTATAACTAATTTGCAGACAATGGGCCAATTTATCAATAGTTACTTCATCTGTCTAACAGAATCAAGTCACGTGTATGTTCAATGTTTTCCTCATTTGTGGCAGTAAATTATGATTCAGCACCTTTGTCTTGTGTAACATTCATAAGGCCATATTTCAATCCAATCATACACATTCTGTTGAGGCAACACACTGTTCCCCTACTGTACTGAAAGTCTTCACTGAATTTCAATCCTTGATACACTTTCCAACCACAAAAAAATAAATCATTGATTGTTGCTCTTCTTTGGTGCAAATGGATAGTCGAGTATACATGGTTAACGCATGACAGTAACAAAGGAACTAACCTGTACAGACATAACAACAATTAAACCACGCATGTGTCATCTATTCTTCATGACAGTAATATCAACATGAAGAAAATATAACCCCCCACATTGTGGAGATAATAGTTGACATACATTTGTAATAAACACAAGGTAGTAAGACCAAATACAAATAAATAAATACAGTAGAACCTCCATGAGAGGATACTCCCGCTAGAGGACAC